ACAGGCGCCCGCCACAATGCCCGGCTATTTTTTGGTTGCAGCCGACATTGTTGTTTGGCGGGTCCGGGCTGGGGATTCGAACCCGCCACCTTAGGTGTATGTGACTGGCGCCTTAGCCAGTTGAGCTATAGGCGCCGAGCCTTGCACCTTGAATTAAATAATCATTTCTTAGATTCAATGCCAAAAGTACAAGCAATAAAAGAAATAAATTGGTAAATTGGATGTCATCAAAATTAAAAACTATCATTTTTCTTCAAAAATAAATTCTCATTATCAATTAAAATTTAATATCACAAAGTTTCATCTTGCTTGATTTTATAACTATCTGTTGCACTGAAAATCTTAGTTCCTAAAATTGACATAATTCCATGTTTTATCTTATTATAAACAGTGGAAAAATAACAATACGAATATTATCAATAATAAGGTAACCGAATTTAATTAAGATTTATTTGCCACTCTTCTCTTCCTAGGATAGAGTCCACTAGAATATGCAATCAAAATACTGTAATTTTAAGATGCTAAATCCAGCCTGGGTAACACAGCAGGAACCTGTCTCTAATTATTTGTGTGATTATGCCATGAACTCACTATAGTTGGTCTTGCTCTCAATTTTTGAGGATTGTTTTGTTTTTTTCCTTCTTGATCTAATTTGGTTTCATAATTAAACTTACATAGTTCTAAACTATTAGTACAAACAAGAAACATGCAAGTAAATCTTAACTTCCATTTCTATCCCCTCTACTTCTAGAGGGGATAGAAAAACTAAAAACTAATAACATAAGTATTAGTTTTTTTGTTTATCTTTCCATTGTTCTTTGAGAGCATAAGGAAATATACAAACATACTCATATTTCCCTCATACCTTACATAAAAAATAGCATACTGTACACTCTGTCCCCACATATTGCTCTTTAACACAACACTACATTCTGGAGGTCATTCCATGGCAGTATATAAGGAATGATGGCAATATATTCCTCAATCCTCTTTATAGTTGCAGAGTATTAATTATTTCTGTAGCTGTACCATAGTTAATTCAATCAAGCCCCTCTAATGAACATTTGAATTGCTTTTAGTTTTGCTATTATAAAAAACTGTTTTAATAAATAACCTTATATTTTATATTTTTTTGTCAGGGAATTTGTGAGATAGAACCCTAGAAATGGAATTGCTGATCACAGGCAAATGCACACATAATTTTGCTCAATATTGCTAATTTGGATTTTTTTTTTTTAATAGAGATAGGATCTCACTCTGTCACCCAAGCTGGAGGGCAGTAACTCATTGCAGCCTCAAACTTCTGGGCTCAAGCCATCATCCTGCCTCAGCTTCCAACTTGCTGCGACTACAAGTACATACCAGCATGCTGGCACAATACTGCTAACTTCTCCATAGGGGCTGTATCATTTGTCATAATCTTTTACCTATGTCCCCTCTCCCACTCTTGTTCACCTACAACTTATTCTCCCTTATATCTTTTTTTTTTTTTGAGATAGAGTCTCAGTATGTTGCCCTCGGTAGAGTGTAGCGGTATCACAGCTCACAGCAACCTAAAACTCTTGGGCTTAAGCAATTCTCTTGCCTTAGCCTCCCAAGTAGCTGGGACTACTGGTGCCCACCACAACACCTGGCTATTTTTTGTTGTTGTTGCAGTTGTCATTGTTCAGGCCAGGTTTAAACCCGCCAGCCTTGGTGCATGTGGCTGGCGCCATAACCACTGTGCTACAGGCACCAAGCCTTTCCCTTATGTCTTATAAAAACTTACAAAATACAGATGGAGTCTTATTACTGACCTGCTTAAAATCATTCAGTAGCTTCCCATTGCATCTAGAATAAAATCCAATCTCTTCACAGAACCTATAAAAACTCAGATCACATGGATCTTGCTTCTGTATCAAGTTAGGATTAGGTTTAGCTATGAGCAACAGAGGCCTAAAATTATAGTAACTTAAGGCAAAAGTTTACTTCTCTGACAAATAAGTCTGGAAGAAGACTGCAAGGCTGGCATTGTGGCTCAGCTTCAAGAACTCCTCAGGGCACAGGCTCCTCCCAGACCATGCTCTGCCATCTCTAGAACCTGATCCTCATCCCCATGACCTAAGAGAACAGCAAAAGTACCAGTTATCATATCAACGTTCCAGGCAGCAAAGCTGGAAGAAGGGATGAGAGTACATGACAGCTGGTTTTTAAGGAAAATTCTTGGAAGCTCTCTACATGACACTTTCATTCTTATCCTATGAGTCATAACTTATTCATATGACTATACCTGCCTATAGGAAAGGCTGGAAAGGCTCAGCACCTGCCACATACACTGGAGCTGGAGAGTTCCAACCCAGCCCTGCCAAACAACGACAACTACAACCAAACATAGCCGGGCACTTATAGTCCCAGCTATCTGGGAGGCTGAGGCAAGAGAATCGCTTAAGCCCAAGGGTTTGAGGTTGCTGTGAGATGGGACGCCACAGCACTCTACTGAGGGCGACATAATGAGACTCTGTCTCAAAAAAACAAACAAACAAACAAACAAAAGAAAGGCTGGAAAACATCATCTTTATTCTTGGCAGCCTGGTGCCCAGCCGAAAATTGGGAGATATACCACGGAAGAAGTCTCTGCTGCACAAGCTCTTCAATTTCATCTCATACTACCTCATACCCCTTCTTCAGTATGCTTCAGCCACAGAGACTTTCTTTATTTCTCATGGAAGCCAAGCTCTCAAGGCCTTTGTTCTTGTTCTTGTCATTTTACCTTCCTAGCACACTCAGATCTTCACATAGCTTCCTGGTCATCATTTAGGACTCAGCTCAAATATCATTTCCTCAGAGAGAACATCTTTGACTACTGTATGTAAAGCGGGCCCCGGTCCAGTCACTCCTTTTCATATTGTGCTACCTTATTTTCTTCATAGCATTTGTCTCCATCTGAAATTATTTATCTTTTGTCTTTCCTTCTCTTGAATATAGTTTCCACAAGACAGGGACCTTTTTTGTGTTCTTCACTGCTATCTCCCTATTACTCATTCTAAGCATAAGGAGTTAAGTATCAGTTGAAGGAATGAATATCTGACTCCAAAGCACATGCTTTTCTACTATCTCTGCTGCTCCTACTATATTTGAAATAATACCAGAAGTTTTGAGAATGGTAACCAATTAAATACTTTCTTTCAAAGAAGATTTTTAAAAACATTGTTTCTAAAGATTTCTAAAAAAAATCTTATCTCGGTAAAAAGAGGAATTTACGTATAACATCACGGGCAAGTCTCTTTCAAGTTGCATGATCTCACAGTTCTTATCTGTAAAGTGGAAGAATTGGTTAAAATTCACTTACCATACAGATACCTACAAAGCACCGTGCTACACGTGTGCTCTAGTGCTGTGCCTCCTTAGCACTGTGCTAACCATGAAAGTTAAACAAAATAACCTCTGGCCTTAAAAAGGGCTAAGTGCCTTTCAACACTACAATTTATATGATTCTGTATAATTGTTGGTTTGCACCCTTTATGGTAGAGAAAAAGCTTCCCACTACTGAAATACTAATTGAAATAAACACACTGCTTCTTCTTAAAAGTAAACATTTAATTCAATATTGCAACAGGAGTTGGAAAGTATTAAAAACAGAAGCATATTAGTGGTAAAATCTATATTATTAATCTTTAGTTTCTTTTTGAGGAGATTTTGACTGTCAGTTATCTACAGCAAAGTGAAACAAAGGACAAGGTCTTTAGAAGACAGAATTCTTTGTGAATTCAAGTTTAAAATGCTTAAAAGGGATTAATGGTTTTAAAGACCAAATGAGAAACACTCAAAATTAGACACACCTCATTTGAATCCTAAAAGTTGAACATAATAAACATTATATATATTTATATTTTTAAAAGATGACCAACAAATTGACAACTCAGCATTTTCTTTCTTTTTTTGAGACAAGAGTCTCACTGTATTGCCCAGGCCAGAGTGCTGTGGTGTCAGCATACCTCACATTCCTGGATAATAATCTTCCTGCTTCAGCCTCCCAGAGTGCTAGGATTACAGGCATGAGCCACCATGCCCAGCCACACACACAGCATTTTCAAGAGTGGCATGCCAGATCACCACAACTTTGACAACCACCTTGCAGTGGTTCTTCAACTGCATTCTTTGTTCTTCTAGATCCTCTTGGCTTCCCTCCCGGCAAATCCAAAAGCACAGTGGAAAAAACAGATGCAGAGATAGACGCCCATTTCTCCTGAAGTCTCTTTCAAAGTAGCAATTAGGCAAATAATCAACGAGAAAAGAGCATACTACATATAATCCATAACTTACAGTCCACTCAAGGCCTCAGTCAATTTGAGAAATTGCCAGTTCTGTCAAATATGCTAACACTCCAATAAGATATTTATGACACAGAATCTGAAAAAAAATTAAAAATTAGAGTATTATTATAATAAAGCAGTTTGCTATTTAAATGATCAGTGGTACATCAGCCTAATATTTCAATTTAGTTCATGCTTAACACATGCAACACATTATCATTTTTATATTTTCTATTCTATTTCTTTGCCTTTTTGTTTTTCAATGCTGGCCTCTTCCCATCAAAATTATTTCCCAACCTACTATTGCACTGTGACTCCCAGTTTGAAAAGCATGAGCATAATTCTTAAAGATCAAGTACGGACTTCTTAAAACCTAAGAGATGAGTTCAAAACTTAACTCTTCGTCTTACCAGGTATCTTGCTTGTCACTTAAACCTATCTTGGTCTCAGCTTCCTTCTTTTAAAATAAACTGGATAAAAATAGCTAACTACAAGGTTGCTTTAAAGATGAGAATTAAGATCTGTTAAACTCCTAGTACAGTGACAAGAGCATAGGAAACATTCACTGAGTGTATTTTTTAGCTGTGTATTTTAATAATATTTTAGGAGCCAACTTCAGTTTATTTCTGATACTTCTTGTGATAAGCACTTTGTAGAGTATAAAACAACATCTCTATTATTTCTTTGCCACTGAGAATATAAAACCATAGAAAATAAAGATGACATCTTAGTTCTTTTTTTTGAGACAGAGCCTCATGCTGTCCCCCTGGGTAGAGTGCCGTGGCGTTACAGCTCACAGCAACCTCCAACTCCTGGGCTCTAGCGAGTCTCCTGCCTCAGCCTCCCAAGTAGCTGGGACCACAGGCGCCCGCCACAATGCCCGGCTATTTTTTGGTTGCAGCCGTCATTGTTGTTTGGCGGGCCTGGGCTGGGGATTTGAACCCACCACCTTAGGTGTACATGGCTGGCGCCTTAGCCAGTTGAGCTATAGGCACCGAGCCGACATTTTAGTTCTGTTTCCAGCTATAACTTTTTTATCTAACATAAAATTATGATAATGATTTCAAAATTTGACAAGGAACAGTTTTAAAAGTTTCAAAGATACTCCAGAATAATAATTCATATTATTACCAAAGTCTGCATTTGGTAATAATATGAATTATTTATTATTCTGGAGTATAGTGTCTTTCCATTGTAAGGCTGTACCTAGAAAGTTTAAAGACTTTGGTATATCATTTACGGAGCATAAAATAAAGTCTTTCTACTGTCTTAAACTGGCATACATTCAAATATGCCTCTTCAATGTAGACAATACAATCATTGTACACTCTGAAAACTCTGCAATGATAAGGAAAAATTACTTAACTAGATTTGTTCAAACTAACCTTTATTCTTCCATCAGTATGTGCTGAAGCTACAGATGTTGAAACACGAACCAATCTTGTAGCTGATAAATGAATTTTGAAATGCCTATAAAAATGTGAATAAAGGCAGTCCATGAATAAGTCAACTTCCTCCTGTGTTACCTCCCCAGGTGTTTTGTGGACACTGTCCCACAAAGCTTTTGCATCCTCTGGATGTATTGCATAAGAAATGTCCAGACTTTGAGGGTTACAGGGTACAGACCAAAGAAATTCAGTAGTAGCCATATAATGATCCATTTTGCATGCAGTCCACATAGCAGCCAGCCAGGAAAGATTAAACGCATTGATTGCCAAAGGACTAAAATAACAGTCGAAGGTCTTCTGAAACCAAGTTCCAATTAAAGCTGTATTGGACTCTGCTCCATTTGCAAGGAATAAAGGTAGACAGGTGAAATCTTCTGAAACAGTCTCCAAAAGACTATCTCCAAATATACAGCAGAACCAACCAGTCCACAACACTTTACCTTCTCTGTTCTCAGATGACGATTGAGATTTTGACAGAATCTACAAAGGAAAGTAAAATAGGTTAAGTTCAAAAGTACATTTACTCCTGGCTCGGCGCCTAAGTCTCAAGCAGTTAAGGCACCAACCACATACACCTGAGCTGGTAAGTTCAAATCCAGCCTGGGCTCTCCAAACAATTGCTGCAACCAAAAAATAGCCTGGCCTTGTGGCAGGCACCTGTAGTCCCAGCTACTTGGGAGGCAGAGGGAGAAGCATCACTTGAGCCCAGGAGTTGGAGGTTGCTGTGACTGTGATGCCACAGCGCTCTACCCAGGGCGACAGCTTGAGGGGAAAAAAAAAGCCTATTTACTCCCAAATTACATTGCCTCAAAATTAGTTCATTAAAAACAAGATGATCTGGCTCGGCGCCTGTGGCTCAAGC